CATAGTCATAGTTGATGGCACATGTTTAAGGTTTGCTGCTTGGGGGTTGTTTCTGAAACCTCTTCTACGGCCTTCTCAACACCAACCTGCAACCTCGGAGAATACGTTTTGCCAAAAGCACGAAAAACCTGAGTGCAAGATAGCTGCTCTTTGGATGCAGGGGCTTAGGCGTTTTGAGCTTACGGGTTATAGAATTCAGGGCTGAGGGCTTCCGAGGTTTAGCGTCTACTAGCAAGCATCATTTTTCTGTTTAGGAAGATGTCTTAGTTTTGCGATATAACACGAAAGCGAGACAACTCTGACTTAGCTACGGCCTGGACTCCAGATGATCTACTTTTTTAGGGACGTATATAAGGACATGGAAATCTACCAATAGGGAAATTTAGACTGTTTGTTTGATAGGGCCCAAGTAGTTGCAGAGTTGGTATTGCCATGGCAACCCTGAACTCTAAACCCACCCTGAACCCCTAAACCCTATACCCTGAAATCCCAAACTCTAAACGCCTAAACCATGGTAGCCTTTAACTCTTTTCGTTTCATGCCTATGGCTGGAGACACAGCTTACCTGCTTGAACCTTTTTTCGGGCACAATCATCCCTGTCTAATCTCAAGGTATAACCTTGAGCTACCTTAGGATACTGGACAAGTAAGTTGCTTAGGGTTGAGGAGTAAGGTTGTGGTTTAGGAGTGTAAAGGCTTGACTGAGTTCTTCGGGGTTGGGCCTCGGGTCACGAGTCTACGACCAGCCTGACAGCTTGAGAGGAAGATGCAGTCCGAATCCCAGCATGTCGGCCCGAACAGTGTCCGACGCAATCATATAGCTGAAAGCTTCAGCCAATCAATCTTAAACCTTCTAGCCCTCGGGGTTCAGAAATCAACGTCACAGCAGTAGGAAGGGGCGCTTCTGTCCACTACAGGCCCCATGGGCTTTAGGTCGCAAGGCCGCAACTCCAACAGTCCTCTCGGAGGCTCGAACTAATATTAAACTCTGAATAATTACCAATACAGTTGCGACAATTCTTGAGGGTTCCTTAACATAACGATTGTACTATAACATACCTAAAGACCCTGTTGCAATTATTAAGGCCCCGGTGTTGGCCCCAAAGCCTTTCATAGTACGGTCTTCGGGCCCCGAAACCGCCCGTCTCAACCCTAAACCCCTTAAACCCTAAACCCTAAACCCCTTAAGCCCTAACCCCTAAACCCTAAACCCCTACACCCTAAACCCTAAAGCTTCACAAGATCCTTCCCCGGAATGGGTTCGGTCAAGTCTCTGCCGATCTCCGAAGCGGAGTGCTGCCAGCCTGTCGTCGAGGCTACGGCGAATATAGGGGCTTTACTAATTCAGAATAGGGTTTTGGGGTATACTATGCCATAATGGTATGGGTAATTGCTTAGGCCCTTGTTAGTAAGCTCTCTCAGGCGAGTTGTCTAGTTTATTAGCGGCTACACAATGGTCATGCAGTCTGAAATTGCTGTTGCAGTTCTGCAGGGCCCGGCGACATGAACCTGCTGTTTGGATAGCAGGGTAGGGTAGGAGATCGGAGGCTTTTGTCTGTTTTCTGATAGTTGTGCCGGTGGTGTTCTACAAGATGCGAGCGATGGGAACTATGAAGCTGCAGGGGGAGGGGCAAAATTCAGGAGCGTGTGGTGGCTTGTGAGAGGCTAGTTTGATATGCACGCAAGCAGGTGCAGCAAATATGTGAATGTAACGACATGGATCTGTCTGTTTGTCTGCCTGCCTGCCTGCCTGCCTGCCTGCCTGCCTGCCTGCCTGCCTGCCTGCCTGCCTGCCTGCCTGCCTGCCTGCCTGCCTGCCTGCCTGTCTGTTTGCCTGCCTGTCGGTCTGCATGCGTGCATGCATGCAAAACCGGGTGGGCGGGCAGGCAGACAAGCAGGTATTTATGTCTGTAAGCATGCATGCATGCAAGCTTGTGAGTATGTAACCATGTAACGGTGCTGAGCTGTTTGTCGCAAGGTCGTTTGGTTTGCTGTGACATACCAAGAAGGGTTGTGCTGTTGGTAGTGAGACGCATCGAAATGTCTCGTCCTATGACTTGTCCTTTGCATCTGTTTGTTTTTGCTTTTGTTTTCCGTCTCTGCATATTTATTTATGTTGTCTGGTGTTCTAGATGCTTGTCTAGCTTACCGACCCAGGTCCTTAGCAACTACCCTACCGTACATGGTCATAGCCTCCGTCCGTTCGGCCTTGAACCCTCTACGCATTTCATTGCTGTTTCGGGAGAACTTGAAGCAATCACCACCTAGCGCACCCCAAGGCACTTTTGATTTTGTTTTCTCGTTTAGAGCCCGACAATACCGATGCTTTGGTGACTCGCCTGGACCTGTCAGGAGCAGATCGAAACTTGCAATGCGGAAGGGGCCGAGCAAGGCCAGGCCTATCAATTAGGGTTTTTGTGCCCAAAATTTTAAGGATTTAAGGACAGTAACAGAGGCTTTGAAGCCTGCGAGGGCGGCTATGATGGGCTTCGTACTAGGTTTCGGGCTTGATTATGTGCTCAGCACTATAAGAGAGCCCCTCTCTGCACCGCAATGCTATCGCACGGCGCAGCATGTTCGCAACCCGATATTCCGTTTCAGGGTTTAGGATTTAGGGTTCGGAGTTTAGGGTTCGGGGTTTAGGGTTTAGGGTTGGAGTTCTTTTACTTAAGACCTAAGGTCTAAATCCTGCACCCTACTCGACTCGCCTGCGCGATCGTGCTGCAAGCGCTTAGGAGTCCTAAACCCTACCTATAGCCTCCATTGTAGTTCCTTTGTTTGGTTTAACCAATTATATATTAAGGATTTTTATAAGGTATCCCCAAAAAGGAACTACAATGGAGACTTTAGGTAGACTCCCCGTATCCCTAAATCCTAAATCCTACCCCCTGAACCTATACACCCTAAATCCTAAAACCCGAAAAGCCTAAACCCTGAATCCTAAACCCTAAGCCCGAAACCCCTGAACGCTAAACCCTAAAACCCCCCCGCGGGTTCACTTTCCGGGGTGGTTTTGTGTCGTTTTGTTTCGGGGTTTTGTGTTTTTAGGTATTGGAAAAAACTTTTATTGGTAAGGGTTTTGGACGGTATGTGTAGTGACCTTGTTCATGGTGATGTTTGCATGG